TGGCTGGTAGCTGAGGCTGGCTGCTCGGACCCCTTTAAGGAACACCGATTGCTCAGTGTAGAAAAGCTGTTTCATAAACGCTGTTCATCCCTGACTGGGTGCTGTTGGCGAGTCTTCTCTGGGAAGGTCTTTGCTCCCTGCCTCTTCTTGTCCCCTCTCACCTTCTCCCCAGTGTTTAATGGTGCAGCTGTTCAAACTCAGCTCCTGGTTCTCATCCTTGTGGTTTCCCCTGATTTCAGGGTACCCTCCTCCCCTGCTCTAACCCAGCATCTCTCCCCAGATTTGGCCTCTCACCCCTTCCCAGTGCCCGGTTCCTGCTCTCTGCCCCTCCCAGCTGCGGGGCCGTCTCATCCTCCCGGCCCCCGGGCTCTCCTGCTCACCGGTCACATCTCTATTCAAAGCCCAGCAGGAATTTGCACATCTGGCTCCCACTAACCCAGCTTCGAAGCAGCGCTGAGACTTCAGATTCAGATCAATCTCTTGCTTACCCATATTACCTGCTTTCCTCCATCGCTTTCCCATCGTGGCGGCTGTGTCTTCAGCCTGGGAGGACTGTGCACTGTTGGAGATGGTATCTCCAAAGCAGCTGGTGTGCAAGAGGAGCTGTGGCTCTTGATGTGGGAGTGAGCGTGAGGTTTTGCACCATCTAACATGGTTGTACCAGGCCCTGCGCCGACCTTGGTTGCTTTCCGGGTACCCCAAAGCAAGCAGGGCACAAAGGGTGCTGGGTCCTGACCGTGTTTCTCCTCTCTGCAGACCCCAGCAATGTGGACCTGGAGAAAGTGGCCAATATTATAGTGGACCAGTCCCTCAAAGACTGTGTGTTCAGCAAGGAGGCAGGGCGCATCTGCTACACCATCATCCAGGTGAGAGCTCCTTGTGTCCCGACAGCAAAACACTTAAGCTGTGTGGGCTGGCCCTAGGCTGGGCCAGGAGAGGCTTTGCCCCAGCCCTGCGCTCTGACCCCTCAGCCAGCTTTCCTCTTCTGCTGCTCGCCCCGTGCGGTGGCAGCATCCAGAGGAGCAGCCGGCGAGCACATGCAGTTAGTTGCAGCTTTCCTGCCTCTCTGGGCAATCACAGGAGGGTATCTGCATTGTCCTGCATCACCCAAGTAGCAGCACCCCCCTGCCCCTCTCGCACCCCCATTTCATCCCTCTGTCCTGCTTTTGTGGGCTCGTAGGCAGAGAGCAAACAAGCCGGCCAGAGCGTCTTC